CACTTTGCAAAGTGTGGTGCTGATAACATCAGGGCCATGGGTTCAGATCCCTATGTAGGGCTCGTAAGTTCACTCACTTGGGAGAGCGTGGTGCTGACAACACCAAGTCAAGGGCTAAGATCCCCTTACCGGTCATCTTTTCTAAAAAAAAAAAAAGACGTGGGATGGGGAAGGGACATGGGAGGGTCCCGAGACCTACCTGAGGCTGGCTCATCCATAGAAAATGCCTTGTTCTCCACAAACATGCTCTGGCCCTTCTGCTCTTTCAGGATGGTCTCATACCCCACGCCCCGGGTGGGGTACATGTCCCCCTGGTAGCTTTGTTCTGGGCTGGCCTTAGTCACCTGGGTGACCTCAGGGATGACATAGAAGAGGACAAAGGCCCAGGCATTCGCAGCAAGGGCGATGGCCAGCGTGGGGTCATCCCAGGTGGGGCTGTGGTGCTGCTTGTTGCCGTAGGTATACATGACGATCCACACCACCCAGATGGCAATGGACGTGGCCGTGGTGAGCAACATGAAGACCCCGTGCTTACGCCAACGCTTGAAGCGGCCACACAGCACGGGCCAGGCCCCCATGAAGGCACCCAGCAGCAACAGCATGACGTAGATGAGTGCCATGACAAAGTCCATGTTGGCGATGGCACAGGGGGAGGCCGTGGCCCAGCTGGCACTGCCATTGCCCCAAGGGCCACCCTCAGCACCACCCCGGACCAGGGTAATGATCAACCACTCTGTGTTGATGATGACCTCCACAAGAGTCAGCAGCAGAGCCACGGTGAAGATCACCCAACCCCGGGGCCCATGGTTTTTTCGGGCCAGGAAGTTGAGAGCAAAGACATGGGCCACCAGGCAGGAGAAGCAGATGGCAAATAGGACCCCAAAGAGGAACCTCCGAGAGGCGCAAGTGGAGAAGTCAGGCTTCACCACGCAGGCAAACACAAGGCAGAAAAGGCCCAGGGTCCCCAAGAGGAAGAACACCTGGGTCCCCAGAAGGCTCCGCTTCTTGGTGTCCTGCACAAAGGGGAGGCTGGCCACCAGGATGATGGTGAGCACGAAGGTGGTCACGATGCCCGCCCCAGCCACCGCCTCCAAGACGATGCCCCAAGCCTCAGAGCGGTCACACAGGTTGTAGTAGAGAGGGTTGAGGTCTGGGCTGCAGCCGGGTGGGGCATGGTTCTGGGCCTGGGCCGCTGGGAATAGGAAGAGAGGCAGTCCTAGGCACATCAGCAAGGCTTTGTGGATGGCCATCCTGGCTCCCAGGCCAGGCTCCAGCTGAGTCCCTAGAGACAGAGGGAGAAAGGGCAAAATCAGTCCTCCAAGGCCAAGATACGTGGTGCTGCTTCTCCCATCCAGAATCAGGGCAGACCATGGTAGCTGATCATGAGACTGTCTCTCTGGGCTTCAGAATCCTTAACACAGAACTCCTGCAGGCATATCAATTGACCAGAAGGCGAATGAGATGAAACCCATTTGTCATCCCTATTTCCAGGCATGGGAAAGGAGGAAACTGTCACTGAAATTTTCAGTTCCCTCCTCTCCACCAACCATAATCTGGGTTCAAACATTTCCTGAGAAGGTTACCCGGTTAGCTCACTTGCGAGAGCATGGTGCTGGTAACACCAAGGTCAAGGGTTCGAATTCCCATACTGGCCAGCCACCAAAAAAAAATGTTAGCCCAAACATTCCCTGAGCTCCTGCAGCCAGGACTGGGGGTGAAGGAGCTCGTAAGCAAGCCAAAACCAAGCCTAACACCCGCTCAGCACTTCTTTCTGCCTTGGGACTTCCAGCCTTCAGAAGGTCAGACACTATGCCCCAAACTCTGTCCCTGTGATGCCTAAGTCCATGCTAGTCAGCCCCACATTCGTTCATTTAACTATTCATTTATTCAACAAGTGGCAGGCATAACCTGCAGCCAGAAAAAAGTGCAGAGATAACTGGAAAGTTGTGTTCATCTACTCTCCCCCTTCATCTCCTTTGTTTACCCTTCATTTTCCCACTTTTAGCACCAACTCTCCTCTTCAGAAATTAAGGTTCTTTGGGCCAGCCCGTGGCTCACTCGGGAGAGTGTGGTGCTGATAACACCAAGGCCAAAGGTTTGGATCCCATACAGGGATGGCCGCTTAGCTCACTGGGTGAGCGTGGTGCTGACAACACCAAGTCAAGGGTTAAGATCCCCTTACCGGTCATCTTTAACAAAAAAAGAAAAAGAAATTAAGGTTCTTTGTCTAGATCAGATGCTGAAGTCAAGAATAAAATAAATGAATTCCCTAGAGTTAATAACTTAATGCAAAAATTGTCCTATGAGGCACTAACATTTTAAAAGCAAGAACCAGGCAAGGGCAATACAAAACCCAAAGGAATTAATCTTTAACGGAAGACTTTAAGACATTGTAGCCATTAGGTGAGAAAGATCTCTTTTACTAACATCAAGCAGGCTGGCCGGTTAGCTCAGTTGGTTAGAGCGCCGCCTTCTAACACCAAGGTTGATGGGTTAAGATCCCTCTACCTGCCGGCCACCAAAAAATCAAAACAAAACAAAAACACCAAGAAGGTAATTTATTACTCCAAATGCTGTAGATCTGCGCCAAAGAAGAAAGCTGTATTAGCCCGTTTCTGTTGCTTTTAACAAAATACCAGGAACTGGGTAATCTATTTATTTTATTTTATTTTTATCTATTTTTTTTTTGGAACCAGGTAATCTATAAGAAAACAAAATGTATTGCTTACAGTTTCAGAGGCTGGGAAGTCCAAAGTCCAGGGAACGCATTTGGTGAAAGCGATGGTGGTGACAGTGACCCAGGGTCTCAATGGCAGAAAATGGCAGAGCAGAAAGGAGATAGTTCCTCATGCACTCTTTTTTTTAAAGCCCTCAGGACCATGGCCATGACCACTATTATTAATCCACTCACTGGGTATGGTCCTACAATCTAATCACCTCTTCAGGGCCCCACCTTGCAATTACCATAACAGGATTTCCCACAGTCTTAACAGTCACACTGGGGATCAAGCTACTAATACAAAGAGCCTGGGGGACATGATCCATATCAAAAGCCAACCCCCTGCTCTCAATACCAATTGGATTTTCCCTGTGTGAAGAGTGGGTAAAGATGTGATAGATTAAGGGCCAGCCTGTGGCTCACTCAGGAGAGTGCGGTGCTGATAACACCAAGGCCACGGGTTCAGATCCTATATAGGGATGGCCGGTTCACTCACTGGCTGAGTGTGGTGCTTACAACACCAAGACAAGGGTTAAGATCCCCTTACGGGTCATCTTTTTTTTTAAAAAAAAAAAAAGATGTGATAGATTAAGAGAAATTAAAGACCAAATCAGGGACTTTCAATGAAGGACTTTAAATTTGCTTATAGGAGACCTAACAGAAAATCAATCAATCAATCAATCAATCAATGTTTATCACCTTCACAGCCCAGAGTGATTCACTATCTCCGGCCAACTGTGCAGGCAGGGTTGCAAATGGCAGTCCTGAGCTTCCTGACCCCAGGTCTGAGCTTGGACGCAGCTGGTGCCCCGCTACCTCCAAAAAGGAGGGAGAAAAGTGGTCGGGAGGATAGTGAGTTAGATAATGCCGTTCCTCTACCATCCAGTAATGGTCACTATCAGCCCGGGAAAGCTTGGTTGCTGTCTTTCTGGAGAGTTCCTGATGAGGCAGGAAGAGATAGGGTTACCACTAGTTATTTGAACATATAGGGTGATTTAAATGTGGAGTACCTGCATTTCATAGAATTTTGGAATTTACAACTTGCTTTTTGAGCATTTAAATTTTCTGTTAAGGGCCGGCCCGTGGCTCACTTTGGAGAGTGTGGTGCTGATACCACCAAGGCCACGGGCTCGGATCTCTATATAGGGATGTCCAGTTAGCTCACTTGGGAGAGCCTGGTGCTGACAACACCAAGTCAAGGGTTAAGATCCCGTTACTGGTCATCTTGAAAAAAGAAATTAAGGTTCTTTGTCTAGCTCAGATGCTGAAGTCAAGAATAAAATAAATGAATTCCCCAGCTAAGGAGTTAATGACTTAATGCAAAAATTCTCCTATGAGGTATTAACATTTTATAAGCAAGAACCAGGCAAGGGCAATACAAAACCCCAAGGAATTAATCTTTTTTTTTTTTTTTTCCTTTTTGTCTTTTTTCGTGTCTGGCAACGGATTGCAA